CCGGACGTCAGGCTGCGGGGGTCTGGGGCTCCACCTGCGAGGGCACAGGGGACACGGGGGGGATATGTGGGTAGGGGGGCACCCACCTGGTGTCCTGTACCACCTGCCCACAGCCACCCCGTGTCCCATCAGGTGTCTCCACCCCATGGACACCCCCTGTCCCACCCCTTGTCCCACCCTGTGTCCCATCAGGTGTCCCCACCCCATGGCCACCCCATGTCCCATCCCACATCCACTCCGTGTCCCACCCCATGTCCCTCCCATGTCCCATCCCATGTCCTATCAGGTATCTCCACTCCATGGCCACCCCACATCCCATCCAGTCCCATCCCGTGTCCCATCCCATGTCCCATCAGGTGTCCCCACCCCATGGCCACCCTGTGCCCTCTCCCATGTCCCATCAAGTGTCCCCTTCCCATGTCCCCATCCCGTGTCCCATCTAGGATCCACCCCGTGTCCCACCCCAGGCCCCATCCAATGTCCAACCCCATGTTCCCTCCCGTGTCCCACCTCATATCCCCTCCCATGTCCTGGGTCCCATCCCAAGTCCCATTACATAACCCCTCCCATGACCCATCCCACATCCCGTCCTGTGCCCTGTCCCATCCTGTGTCCCACCCCATGTCCCCTTCCCATGTCCATCCCCTGCCCTGTCCCATGTCCCATCCCGTGTCCAAGCCATGTTGCATCCCATGTTCCATCCTGTGTCCCAAGCCATGTCCCACCCCGTGTCACATCAGGTGTCCCCACCCAATGCCCATGCTGTGTCCCACCCCGTGTCCAACCCACATCCCAACCCATGTCCTATTCTGTGTCCTACCTGTGTCCCACCCCACGTCCCACCCCATGTCCCCCAGGTGCCACCGTACCCACGTAGATGCTGCCTTGGGTGTTGGCCATGACGTTGGCTCCTGGCGACTCCCCGCTCACCGGCTCCTCCCCGTCCACCTGCAGCTGCCCGCGCTGGCCCTCTCTGCATGGCACCCATCAGCACCTGCACCCCGACCCCCACCCACCTCGTCACCGTCACCCGGTGCCACTCGCCATCATTGATGGGGTCTTCGGAAACGATGGTGGCCTCGCCACTGCCCAGCTGGTAGCTGCAGGGGTGATGTGGACTCAGCACAGGGGGCACCCTTGGGTGGCACACAATACCCTGGGGTGACACCGTGTCCCCCTCTCACCTGAACACTAGGTGCCCATCCTTCAAGCCAAGGCCAATGAAGTCTTTGGCTTTGCCACCCTCATTGGGCTCCTGCAGGCGCAGAGAAGCAGTGAGCGGGGTGGGGGCACCCTGACCCCCACCCTCAGGGGCTCAGCACCCCGCTCCCTTCCCCAGTGGTGCCCCCCCACCCTGCTCACCACCCCGTGCCACAGCAGCAGCCCCCCAGCGCTGCCTGTCCTCAGCTCCAGCTCGATGGTCTCGGGCGCCTTGGGTGGGCTGCAAGGAGAGGGGGACGGTTCGGTGGGTGCAGCACCCTGGGAGGGGTGCAGCACCCTGGGAGGGTGCAATGGGTGCAGCACCCCGGGAGGGTGCAATGCCAGGCTGGTGCTGAGTGGCAAGGGGTGCAATGCTGCAGAAACGGGTGCAGTAACCTGGGAGGGAGCAATGCTTTAGGAAAGCAGGGTGCAACGCAATGGGAAGGGTGCAGCACCCCAGGAAGGGTGCAACGCTGCAATGGGTGCAACCCCATGGCAAAGGGTGCAACACCGCGATGGCTGCAATGCTGCAGTCAGGGTGCAACACTGCGATGGGTGCAATGCAGCGGGAAGTAGTGCAAAGCCATGGGAAAG